CCCCAACGTCTAGAACGACGAAATCCACTGGAATGATAAGCTTACCCACCTTCACGAGAACGACCTCTCCCCGGGAGAAAATGAAATGATGTCAAAAGAAAACAAAGAACTAACACCTAACAAATAAAAAGAAAACAAGAGAAACACGAAAAATAAACGAATAGGCGCACAATTAAAGTCCTAAACCCTCCCCGGAAACGGTGCCAATTTTGTCGTGAATATTTTTACCAGAGTAGAATCAAAAGATTCGTTCCCCGAGTCGTATCGCAAGGAATTAGCCGGATTTAATCGTACGTATTCGATCACGGAAAATAGAAAATCCTAAACACTCTATTCAATGGTTTTGATTTTAATTATAACTAGTGACTTGAAAATAAATGAAAAGAAATAGCAAACGAATTTACTCAAATGATTAAAGAGCTAGGGAATCGGGGATAATTGCTTTCGGTTCTAACACAACTACCGGCAATCAATTGCTCGGTTAAAGGACTTGAATAGTTTCTCGTCCAGAGGCTCACTCTCAATAACTCTTCGTAACAAGAGAGTGAACGTACACGATCAAATATCAATTCCAACAACTCGTAGACAATACTATTACGAACAAGTCTATTCTAAACAAGCCTATATCGACCAATGTCTCCCCTCTTGGTTCTTCACATTGATTAATTAGGTTAGAAAGGTGATCAATCTACTAACCCTGGAATAAATACAACTTGAATAGATATGAACAATTAAGAACAAGCAATTATAATCAAACCTAATCAATCATCCCCTATCCCTAGCGTACGGATTTAGCTACTCATATGGAATTCAACATCAAAATTCATATAAACCCAAGCCATCATCAATCACACAATAGAGAAAAGAAGAACTTACGATTAATAACAAGAATCCCAATGTCTAATCCAATGAACAATCCAAATCCAAGCCAGAAAAACAGAGCTTTAATCTCCAAAAACAAATCCAAAGAGCAAAAAGATCAAAAGGAATGAGTTTCTAGAGAGAAAAAGTGTAAAAACGAAGTCTGGGAGGTGAATAATAAGGTCTAGGTCGAAATTCTGATGTAAAAATCCCATCCTCAAAATTCGCGCCGCGTAAGTCGCGAGTCGCGACATATGTCGCGAGTCGCGACTTCCATGTTCTTCATGTCGCGAGTCGCGACTTCTCGTGAGTCGCGCGTCGGCAAAAATCTTCAAAATCTGGGGAAAGTCGCGACATGTCTCGCGAGTCGCGATTCCATCTCGCGAGTCGCGACCTTGACTCGCGAGTCGCGATTCGTCTTGCGATAATCATCATTTCGGCTCTGTTGGGCTCGCGAGTCGTGACTATCTCGCGAGTCGCGACCATCTCGCGAGTCACGACTCTGACTCGCGAGTCGCGAGAAATCCTGGGCAGCTCGTCAATCCATTTTTTCGGTCCTTTCTTCAGCGGCCTGGGCACGACAATGGGTATTCTTGATTTCTCGGTCTCAGCTCTAGCAGTCTCGTCCGCGACCGACACAACCTACCTCCTGAAAACACAAACACGGAAAAAAACACGAAGCAAAACACAACAAAAAGAAGCACAAAACGAAACTAAATAGAAAAACGGAAAAACACAGAATTGGACCAAATAAACCACGAAAATCCTATAAGTGGGGAAAAATAAAGAGAAAATAACCCAAAATAAAGACACAAAAATGGGACAAACATCAACAACTTCCTCCATATATTTGCACTATTATGAATATGTGAAAAATATTATTCTCCAAATCTTTGGGCTACATTTTTTTTTTTTTGAAATTTTTAGTTTTAATTAATTTTTATTTTTGTGTATTATTTGACAAAGTATATATTAATAAAATTATTATTTTTTAAATAATTTAAAATTTAATTTTTCGGTTGCATTTAAATTTTATTTTGTACAAGTATATTTCATTGACAGTAAAATTTAGCGCGAACGACTCAATTAATACAAAAGTTAATTTCTGGCATAGTGAGCTCCACACTATGTACAATATATGATTTCAAATGTTCTCTAACCAACCAAGAATATAAAAACTAAGAGGCGATTGGCTACACATTACAATCGATTTTGACTGATTGAGCAATTTTTTACTCTTCACCTCACATTTAATTCAATTCAACCATTCTCGCTAAAATTAAATAATACTAGTCAATCATCCTTACAGATTACATCAACCTTATTTCACTATCATCTACCCACATATTTTAAACTATCTATCATTTTCATTAATCTATCTATTATTTTTACATCACTTCAACATTAATCATTATATATTAAAAATATTTAAATACAAATTTAAAATCTCATTTAGTTTTCTATCCAATCAATTTTATTTAAAATTAACTCACTTTAGTTCAAAATCCAGTCAAAATTGATTTTATTTTATATCCAATCGTCTCGTAGATGCTCATGACACCCCACAACTTAAAAGCTAAAACACACCATAATTTATACATCATTCTACACCAACATTACATCACAAAAAAACATTTCTATTATCTTACATCAGTTGCTTTTCTCTTTCTGACATTTTGTAAGACTCATCTTACATATGGAAAACCACACATACACATCTCACCACAAATTTATATGAACTTATATAATTATTTATATACGTGCAAATATTGTACTCCCTTAAATTTTCAAACTTCAAATCTAAGTAACCAACAAGATAAAGAGGAAATTCTCATAACACCCCACAACTTACACACACATCAAGAAGCATTTGCATTCTCTTTACATTACATTTGTTTTTATTATTACATTTTGTAACACTCATCTTACATATGGAACCACACATACACATACATCTCACGAGAAATTAGCACCAAAATACAACATACCCAAACACATAGGACCAATTTATCATAACAAGAAATTAGCGCCAAAATATAACATACACAAACACATAGGACAAATTTAGCATATAGGAAGAGGCTTCCCATCCCAGCCCTCAACACACTCCAACAATGGATCCACAATTAGCCCCTCGCTCAAGGCCCCAAAAACCTTCTCACACTCCTCCCCGGGCGAAATCTCCCTTTCTCCCGTCAAAAACTCGGTCCCCAACACCTCCCTTACAAACTTGTACAACGGGTACGACCTGCACTCCTTCACTCGGTTCTCGATTATAGGGCTCCCCCTTTCGACCAAGGCCCGCGCTTCCTCCACCTCTTTTGGCAACATGACTCGAAGCTCGTCATCAAAAGCCCGAATCTTCTGTAAAATCAGCGTCCCCTCATTCTTCAACGCGTGGTCCAGTAGCACCTGCCTCAACTTCTGCACGAGTGGGTTGGTCCCGCTGCACGGGTCATCCGCGTAGGAGAAAACGTGTTCCTGATCCACGACCTGCAGCAAGTCCCTTTCACAAAACCTCGTTAGTGTCTTCTTGCTGACCTGGTTGACCGCGTTCTTCACCGCCATTCGCAAATTCCCTTCCAGGTGGCGCAGGTCGACAGCCTGGCATAATGCGACCAGGTAGGTCGATGACATCAGCTTTAATATATCCAAGGCCTCGACCGTCTTCCTCGCCGAGATGAACCCGAGCGAGTTCACGTCCTGGTTGTGTTGCTCGGCACTTTGGACATGGTTCGTAACAGGGTTCGCCAAAAACTGTAACTCCGAACAGTACGCTGCCATCGCTACCTCGGCACCCTTGAACCCGTAGTCCAAACTCGGGTCCTGACCTCCTGAAAGGTTAGACGGGAGACCATTGTTGTAGAAGTCGTTGACGAGCTCGGAAAATTGTGCGAACACGAGCTTCCCGATGGCTGCCACTGCCAGCCTAACATTGTCCATCGAGACCCCAATTGGGGTCCCCTGAAAGTTCCCACCATGTAGGGCTTTGTTCCTTGTTACGTCGATCAAAGGGTTGTCATTGACCGAGTTGATCTCGCGCTCGATCATCTTCGTGGCCATGCGGATGACCTCAATCTGCGGGCCAAGCCACTGGGGAGACGTGCGGAGGGCGTATCGATCTTGTTTCGGTTTTTGCAATAGGTCGGTTTCGTGGAGATTTTGAGCGGCCTTCGAGTACGAGCTTCGGTCAAGGATGTGTTCCATGATGGCGGCGGCCTCTATTTGGCCCGGGTGGTGCTTTAGCTTGTGGGTGAGGTGATCAGTGAACTCAGGTTTCCCGTTCATGACCTCGGCGAAGATTGCTGACATCACCACGGAAAGAAGGACAAGGATGTTGGCCTCGTACAAGGCGGTGGCGGCGAGTCCCGAGCCGACAGCAGTCCCATTGACGATGGCGAAGCCTTCCTTGGGCCGGAGGTTGAAGAAGGTGTCGTCGGTGTTGATGTCGGCGAGAGAGAAGGCCTGGGCAGGGGTAAGGGCTCGACCGTCCGGGCCGACAGCGCGGGAGTTGGGTCGGCCTGTGAGGAGGCCCGCGATGTAGGATAAGGGGACGAGGTCGCCGGAGGCAGTGATGGTGCCACGGAGGGGGAGACAGGGTGTGACATGGGCATTGAGGAGCTTGGCGATGGCCTCGAGGATTTCAAAGCGGATGCCGGAGTAGCCCTGAAGGAGGGTGTTGATGCGCACAAGCATGGCGGCGCGTGTGGCGGAGGGAGACAGGGTGTGCGTTGGGTCCATCGTGCCGTGACCGAATATTCCGGCGTTAAGGACCCTGGAGGATTGTGTTAATAAAACAAGTTTTATTTGAATTTATTGGCTAAATTTGTTAATTTTAAATAAAGTTTATTGGATGGTGGATTGTGTTAGATTTTAAATTGTATTAAATATATTTAAAATGTAATGATTAAAGCTAATGTATTAAAGATATAGGAAAAAATATAATTAAACAAGATAGATAGTCAAATACATGTAACTATATGAATAAGGAATTATTTAAAACAAATGTAATATATAGTGATGATTGATTGATATTATTTAATAGTAATTATATGGTCTAGAATAATTTTAAAGTCAATTGCGCCATTATAAATTTAAACATTTCTTATTTATTTTATTCTAAAATTAATTTTGGGTGCTAGTACCAAACTATTTTGAAATATGATTAAATGTGTGTAACTGTGACTCGTAATCACAATCATCGAAATTAAATATGAATTGAAATATGATTTCAAAATTAGAAAATCAAATAACCACATTGAAATTAAAAAATATATAAATACAAAAAATTGATCATTAGTTCACTTAACCTAATGAGCTCCTTCTGCAGAGCGCCGCCTTGCTTTGTCCTCCGGTGTGACGTGGCACCGAACCCGGTCGTCACGCCGTAGATATCCCTCCCCTTGTCCAAGCTTTCCATCACCCACTCACTGCTAGCCCTCACCCCGGCCCTCGCCGCATCCGCCAGCTCCACCGCCGCGCTGCCGCCGGCGACCGCCGCCACCTGCGCTATCGTCAGGCTCTCCCCGCCCAACCTCACCGCCGGCCTCCGAAACTCTGCCACCATCCGCCGCACCTCGTCGAGATGGCTCCCCTCCAGAGCCGCAGCCGCCGCCGCCCAGTTCAGCGGATCCACACACAACCCGTTCACCGTCGCCGCTGCCATCGAGATTAAAGAAAAAAAAAAAGTCGGTTATGAAATTATTCAAAGACTTGTGTCGATTCTCCTATTTTCAAATGTGATTTCATGTGGGCATTAAATAGAAAAAGGCAGTGGCAAAAACAGAGATGATGATTACGATGGAGAAGGGATACAGTTTGTGTGTGTGTGTGTGTGTATTTTAGTAGGTGGATTAATATTCTAAAGGGGGCGGCTAAAAAGAGAGGTAGTGAAGTGTTAGACCCGCCAATTGGCCATTTTGTCATTTTGTGTTTCATGTAAGATTATGAATTATGTAGGTGAAAACGCTAAATACCTCCCCCTTTTCAATATTTACCAGCTCCAAAAGTCGATTTTATCCTTCAATCAAAATTTTCTCTTTTTTCCTTTCTTTCTCTCTCTTGAATTTGGCTTTCTGACGTCCAAAAAAATGTCGGCACCACCACGATGCAGAGGTAAAGGATTTTTCGTACGATCGGTACGTTTTTTTTTATTTTATTTTTGATTGAAAAAAATTTTGATTTTTTTTTTTGTTCGTGGCCGGCCACCCTTACCGGCCGAAAAACGAATGGTCGGCCACCCTTGCCGGCCGAAAATCGAATGGTCGGCCGCGGGTGCTGGCCACGCTCGGCGCAACAGGGTGCCGGCCACGCTCGGCCGGCTATTACGCGCACGGCCCCAGCCGATAGCCGCCGGCCGACGGTGCTGCCGCCTGTAATGGCGGCCGGCCGCGCGTTTTCTGGTTGTCGTCGGCCGGCCTTTTTTTTAAAAAAAAAAATTAAAATTAATTGAAAATATTAAAAAATTATTAAATTTAAATTTTTCAAAAATAATATTAAATAAAAAATTAATTAAAAATTTAAATAATTTTTGAAAATAATATTAAAAAAAATTAATAAAGGAGAATGGATCGACCCGTCTCGCAAAAACTACCTACACAAAGAGTTTGTGGAAAAAGTGAAAAAACACCTCATGGCAAATGGATTAGTTGTGGATTGATATGAGCCATTGGTGAATTTGTTTAACCATGTGGATCGGTAGCTTAGGTAAGTAATGTATACGGGGATTTTTTTTCATATATATAATTTTTTAAATAATTAATTTCTTTTACGGGGTTGGAGGAAGTGGAAGTGTGTGCCTGTGTGGTGTGGAACAAGGCAACTTTTTAGTTGCATCAAGATAAATGGATTATTTGTTTGATGGATAAAACTGAAAGTGTTAAAAAATTAGAGTGAAAAAAAAAAAAAGAATAGAGAGAATGTATTCTCTTAGTGTGTTTTTCACTATAACTAAAGCTTCTATTTATAGGAAAACTTCTGATGAAACAATCGTAATAATGCAAATACATCGAGAGCAAAACAGTCTATCATATATATTATTTTATAACAAATAGTTCATAACACTCCCCCTTGAATGACTATTTTTAAACATATTTTTACTAATTTGAACAAAGCTCAAATTAGGTTCTGTCCCACCGGGTTTTTAAACATATTTTTACATATTCTCTTAGTGTTATGATTTCATGATGATCAGGTTCTGTCCCTCGGGTTTTCCTGATATACTAAAGCACCAGTACCTGATGGCTACAAGATACACTTCAAGATACACTTCACATCTTGAAGTGTATCTTGTAGCCATCAGGTACTGGTGCTGTAGTATATCAGGAAAACCCGGTGGGACAGAACCTGATCATCATGAAGTCATAACACTGCTTCATCAGGAAAACCCGGTGGGACAAAACCTGAGAATTGTAAAAGCACAACATTGCTCCCCCTCGAATATATCATCTTTAGTGGAGTATCCACGTGCTGCCTCAACTTTACTCTTTTACAGGTACTTTTGCCGTCACGGGCGAGGTCTCTAGTTCAAGTCCAGGATGGCCCATAAAACCTTGTCAAGAAAACCCAGTGGGAAAAAACTTAATCGAAGGAAAAAGAGTACAACTACTCAAGTCTATATTATCATTGTGAGGAATCATATCATTTATCCAGGAGTCCTCATCATACCATGAATATGCATCGTTAAAACCTTATTAGGAAAAACCCAGTGGAAAAAAATCCCAATGAAGGAAAAAGAGTACACTATTCATGTGAATATGATATCCCTGTTGCCTCATTAAAAACCTTGCTGGAAAAAACCCAATGAGACAAAACCTCAGCCAAGGGAAAAAGAGTACAATGTGTATTCCATATATTCATCATGACAATCTTTCCATTATTTGTATGAGTAACATATAGATTTATTCATTCATATTTTCATGTACTGATGGTATTCATGATAATATGTCATATCATGCTTTGTGCAACTTTGAATCTGAAAGTAATCATTCTCATCAATCGATTTCAATGGTCTTACTGCCAATAGTTCTCAATATTCACATTTCAGCTGATTTCATTCTCATCAATATCATTTAAATAGCGCTATTCATTTGTTTGTGTCGACACTTATTCATTTCATTTTTCCCGTAATATATTGAGATATTTCATTATCAGTTGATTTCATCGATAGTATATATATGACTCCTTTCATCACTTTTTTGGGGAATTTCAATTTTCGCAATACCAACGCTTTTAGCGTATTATTTCACCATCATGTCATTTCAAATATTTCACTACCATCAGTATCATACAGTTTATGATTTGCACACTTTCAGGGTGATGCATATATTATTTCAAATTTCAATAATCGATTCTCCCCCTCATCTTAACAGATCTCTGATCTGTATTTTCTGTATAGAATTTCTTAAGGGGAGTTCATATAGTCTCCATTTTGTTCTCGATTTCAACATATAATAAGAGGACTTTGAACTCATATCACTTGCAATGTGCACATTTTTCTTTCAAGAGTTCATCATATCAGCTGAGTATATTACTAGCTTCATCATTTTCATATGACACTTATTTTCATAACCATCTTGTGTCATTCTTTGATCAAACCATCACGTAACTTCAGGTTACGCGTCATATATCCATTATTTGATCAAATCATCTCGTAACTTCAAGTTACGTGTCATATATACATTCTTTGATCAAATCATCTCGTAACTTCAGGTTACATGTCATATATCAATTATTTGATCAAATCATCTCGTAACTTCAGGTTACGAATTACACACATGTGGCTATCTAGTGGATCCATAATACCTAGTAGCACACATTGAGGGGTAGTGGGCTCATATGTATCGTACCCATTTCATACTCAGTTTGATTAAATGTCGATTCACATATATTTAGCTAGTAATAGTTTCTCCAATCGAGAATAAAGCATCTCGTATCACAAAGAATCAGTTAATCATGCAAACCATCATCATTTATATCAGTAAACATCACAATAATTCATTGTAACCCATTTATCACAAACATATTACATCATCTTTCGGCGGCAATAAATGCACTTCAAGTGCAGATTCTGACCAACAATATTTAAACTCAGAATCGTATCACATGAGTATCATTCCTTCTATCACACAGACTCCTTGTGTTTAGAGTCGTATAACATGCGCATCATTTCTATAAATTATCAGACAATCCATTCAATCTTTCTGAATAAAGGTCCAAATTTAATAATGTATTTGGCACTCTCAAATATCCGTAAATATTATTCTTTTCTCCCATTAAATATCATAAAATGGATATATCGATCTCGATTAGAAAGATTGAGAGTTTTTTTTTTTTTTTAAACATCCCAGCTTGGGATGGGGGGTTGAGGCTACACCCCGACCTGTGAATATAATGGCCCAGCTAGGGCTAAAGAAGTCAAGGGTCTACATCCAAGTCGGAAATACATAGAGCAATATCAAAAGCAGAGAAAATAAAAAATAAAAATGAAAATAAAAAATAAAATACAAGGATCACAAAAATATCCACTGAGGATCTAAACTCAAATCCTCATACATGTCAACCTGGTCAGAGTGACCTGGCATGGAGTCCAAAATGTCAAATCTAGTCAGGGGCAGTGTAATATCCCGAGATATTATCGGTATAAATTACGTTTAATTCCGATATAGTAACGTTATCGTTTATTATTTTCGGAATTAATTAAGTTCAGTCGGATTACCGAAATCTAT